ATCCTACCAGCACAACACAGTAATCCTACCAGCACAACACAGTAATCCTACTCAGCACAACACAGTAATCCTACCAGCACAACACAGTAATCCTACCAGCACAACACAGTAAATCCTACCACCAGCACAGTAACCTACACAGTAATCCTACCAGCACAACACAGTAATCCTACCAACACAACACAGTAATCCTACCAGCACAACACAGTAATCCTACCACAGTAATCCTACCAACACAGCACACAGTAATCCTACCAGCACAACACAGTAATCCTACCAGCACAACACAGTAATCCTACCAGCACAACACAGTAATCCTACCAGCACAACACAGTAATCCTACCAACACAACACAGTAATCCTACCAACACAACACAGTAATCCTACCAACACAACACAGTAATCCTACCAGTAATCCTACCAACACAACACAGTAATCCTACCAGCACAACACAGTAATCCTACCAGCACAACACAGTAATCCTACCAACACAACACAGTAATCCTACCAATACAACACAGTAATCCTACTAGCACAACACAGTAATCCTACCAGCACAACACAGTAATCTTACCAGCACAACACAGTAATCCTACCAGCACAACACAGTAATCCTACCAGCACAACACAGTAATCCTACTGGCACAACACAGTAATCCTACTAGGACAACACAGTAATCCTACTAGCACAACACAGTAATCCTACCAGCACAACACAGTAATCCTACCAGCACAACACAGTAATCCTACCAACACAACACAGTAATCCTACCAGCACAACACAGTAATCCTACCAACACAACACAGTAATCCTACCAGCACAACACAGTAATCCTACCAGCACAACACAGTAATCCTACAACACAACACAGTAATCCTACCAGCACAACACAGTAATCCTACCAACACAACACAGTAATCCTACCAACACAACACAGTAATCCTACCAACACAACACAGTAATCCTACTGGCACAACACAGTAATCCTACCAGCACAACACAGTAATCCTACCAGCACAACACAGTAATCCTACTGGCACAACACAGTAATCCTACTAGGACAACACAGTAATCCTACTAGCACAACACAGAAATCCTGGCCAGAAGAAGCACCTGTAAAACAACAAACACTTGTTGATTTAAAACCTCCAATACTGAGGAAGAGTCTTTGAACAGCATTTAGAAGTGATACACAGAAAGGCAAGAATTTATGGATGTCAACTTCTTTATTTTGAGGGACACAATGCTTCTGAGTGTAATCCTTACTCCTTCCTCTGGTGAATGAAAGACTAGGGAACATATAGTTTGACCAGAAATTATTGAGAAGTTTAGGAATATGTTTAATTGGATTTCTAGTATAAACAACCTTGACCAGCTATCAAGTGCTTGGTTTCATTCAAGAGAGACAACTCCGTTAATCCTTTTTCATTAGTTTGTGAAGAGTTATCCCCCTTTGTTCACTTGCTAGCAGACGACATTTTCAGTGATCCTCAGTATGGATGATTTAGAGAAGGGGAAGTTGATTTTAGAGTATTATAACAAGGACATCAGATCAGCTAAAGTGATTTCAAATAGAACAGGCATCCATTTGTCCACTGTTTATCGTGTTTTTTGAAAAATATTGCAAATGGATATGGCATTGAGCACCAGGTAGGCGCAGGTAGGCCCAGAAATTGACTGTCGGTGACAGGAGGCGGCTTGGTATCCTTGTTTCTAAAAACAAACGAAGTAGTTTAGAAAACTTAAGGCTTGATATGATTGATAGAGGAACTGTGGCTGTCTGTAAGGAGACAATTAGAACTGAGCTGCATGCAATGGGTTTGCAGAAAAGTCGAGAAATTCCATCACCGATCATGAAACCTGAACCAAAGGAGCGAAGGTTGAACTGGTGCTTACAGCATGGAAATGTTAACTGGGACAATGTGATTTTCTCAAATGAAAGTTCTGTGTGGCTGTTTCCTAATACACTGAATTTCTGGACCAAACAAACTAAAAAAACCTTTGTATCAGCGCCCAAAGTACAGTCCGAAATTTAACATGTGGGGGGGGCATATCTGTGTTAGGGGCAACGCCCCTCTGTGTATTTGAAGGGAATCTGAACTGTGAGCGGTACACAGATATTCTTGAGGGGTGTTCTATGGAAATTTTTTGATTTTCCAGCAGGACAACGACCCAAAACATCGTTCAAAGCATTCACAGGCCTGGTTTCGACCCAAAATATGACATTATTAGATTTGCCAAGCTATAGCCCTGACCTAAATCCAATAGAGAAAGTTTGGGGACTTATGAAGGAAAGTGTCAATAAGAAAAATCTGACAAATATTGCTGAAATGAAAGAAGAGGTGGTCCGATATTGGGACAGCATGGACCACGACTTTCCAACTTCTTTGATCAGTAGTATGCCCCGCCGTATTGAAGCCTGCATTGCTCCCCATGGTGACTTGACAAAATACTAACTGTTCACCTGTCTTTGAATCTGGAGTTATGTTCTGCTAATATTCACATTTAATACATGAGTAAGGAGTGAAAAAATTAAAAAAGTTACGATCTTTAAATACTCAATAATTTCTGGTTGTACTGTAGTTATATATGTACTCGTGAAACAACAAATGTGATAAGAAAAGAAGTGAAGCCAGTAGCTAGCACTACATTGGTAAAGTGGATGGACAAGTGGAAGCCAGGGAAGATTTATCCAAGCATGGATGATGAGATAACAATTGTGGCATTTAAGAAGGGCAAAGAAATAAACAATGGAAGCCAGGATTTAATCCAGACCTAATTAGTGATAAGTGAGATGATGAGATAACAATTGTGGCATTTAAGAAGGGCAAAGAAATAAACAATGGAAGCCAGGATTTAATTCAGACCTAATTAGTGATAAGTACAATGACAATGAAGCCAGCAGTGATGATTAAATTAAGTCCCAATCACTAGGTAGATATGTTCCATGGTCATGGTTGATTGCTGGTTGGGACCTCCTGATGTCTATTGGCTCTTGTGGTCTTCTTTGATGCCAGTTGTTGTTGATAGATAGGACTTTGGTGGCTTCAGACATGATGCTGTGGTTCTTGTTCTTGTTGATGTGTTCGAAAAAAGTGGATTTGAGGTTGACTTTTTTGATGGGATGTTTGGTGTTCTTTGAGTCTAGTGTTGAGGGGTCTGAGGGTTTCACCGATGTAGGTATCGCCACAGGGATCTGGTATATACTGCTGTGCCTCTGCCATAGGCGTGCAGGGGGGTTTTGATAGTCCTACTACAGGAGAAGGTGCTTGCTTTGTTCTTCACTGGACGGGATATTTGGCTGGCAGGGTCTAGGTAGGGGATGGTGATTCTGATGGACGATGGGGCAGCTTTGGATTTAGGCTTGGAAGTGTTGAGGGTCTTGTTGATGGTTTACTTTAGATGAGATGGACAGGGTAACCACTGAGTGAGATGAAGGTGTCCTTCAGAAGGTTCAGTTTGCTGTTGAGGGCATCAGGATGGAACATTGTCTTCACACGCCGGGTTGTCACCTCAGGACAGGTGTATGGTGGTTGACTCAGACAGGTATGAAGTCATTACCTCAGGATAGGTGCGAGGTAGTCACCTCAGGACAGGTGTGAGGTTGTGACTTTAGGACAGGTGTGAAGTAGTTGCAGTTGTCTCAAGACAGGTGTGAGGCAGTTGCCTCTGGGCAGATGTGAGGTTGTTCCCTCAGGACAGGTGTGAGGTAGTCACTGCTGGGCAGGTGTGAGGTTGTTGCCTCAGGACAGGTGTGAGGTAGTCACTTCTGGACAGGTGTGAGGTTGTTGCCTCAGGATAGGTGTGAGGCAGTCACTTCTGGACAGGTGTGAGGTTGTTGCGTCAGGACAGGTGTGAGGCAGTGAACTCAGGAGAGGTGTGAGGCAGTGACCTCAGGAGAGGTGAGAGGCAGTGACCTCAGGAGAGGTGTGAGGCAGTGAACTCAGGACAGGTGTGAGGCAGTGACCTCAGGACAGGTGAGAGGCAGTGACCTCAGGAGAGGTGTGAGGCAGTGACCTCAGGAGAGGTGAGAGGCAGTGACCTCAGGAGAGGTGTGAGGCAGTGACCTCAAGACAGGTGCGAGGCATTCACCTCAGGACAGGTGTGGGGTCATAACCTCACGACTGGTGTGAAGTAATCATCTCAGGACAGGTGCGAGGCATTCATCTCAGGACAGTTGTGAGGTCATCACTTCTGGACAGGGGTGAAGTAGTCATCTCAGGACAGGTGCGAGGTCATCACCTCAGGACAGGTATAAGGTCATCACTTGTGGTCAACCTAGCCAGTGGCGAAATGCAGTGGTGCCAGTTTGTTGCAGTTGAGTCTGTAAATCATAAACAGTCCGACGGGTGCACCCCATTGTCCTTGCAGTGTCACTTACTGACGTTCCCGCTTCCAGCATGCGTTCACGCTGCACATTTAAGAGTGCGGCATAAGAATTGGCTTTTCTGAACAGTGCTTTTAAGTGTTTTTTCACTTTGTACAGTTGATGGGAAGTATGCGATCGAATATACGTGCAATGATAAGATCAAATGACCAGTGGCATGTGAACTACACGTTTTAGCACTATTGTTTGGATTGACTTAAATGTGCTGTGGTGAGTTTTTCCTTGAGTCAATCCTGGGGGGATTAATATTATTACACCCCCATACTGTCCTCTATAACAATTCTTATTTATATTTACAAATATGAATTGTGAAGTGTTTATTTTAACTCAGTATATCACCATTTGACTTGTACAAGTGCCTTTTCAGGATTGTCACATTGTCAGTTATGATAAGGTAGATCTTTGTTATTTTGACATATTCTATTTTCATACCGACTGGTTTATCAAATGATCTGGAAGAGCATTTCTGACAGTAGTTAAGACATTTATGCGACTGTATCGTAGAAGCATTATCTTAACTGCAAAATATTTTGTGAGCCAATGTTGGTTTGTTTTGTTGGCATGTAATATGAAGTGTGTGAGCTTGATGCCCCAGACTGAACAAGTCCTACCTGCCATGTTGTGCCCCCGAGGATTAGAAGGCCATAACGGTCCAGAAAGTACCCTGTCTGTTGCAGAGTTACTTCCCCTAGCCATGTTTCCTGGATCCTTTGTAAGTCCACAGCTTGGTTGGTCATGATGAACGGGGCTGCCACAACCTAGAAAGACATCAGCCATTTTAACACTGACATTATTCATTTTGAAAATACAGACTTGCATTGGTTTTACACTTCTCTCATTTAACGTTTGTATCTATGATGTGATGGATGGAGTGAAGACATTATCTGGAAACACATGAAGGCTTCGTCCAGCATCATTGCGGAGTTACGGAAAGGAACACAGATTTATGCTTCATAACGTATTTATGTGTACCTCAATGGTCTTGTTGTCTTACCAAGCCAACACTTAAGCATATGAGCTGCACAATGTCTGTGTAGGCAACAGACCAGAGGCCGCCAACTAGGGTGTAAGAGACACTGATGATGGCGGAAATGATAACAGACAGGGTTTCGTCAAGGTCAAGGATGATAGCCATAGTAGAACCTGAAATGAGAACATTTGAAATGAGTCAGGGCTGTTGGGTAGCCTAGTTTTTAAAGCGTCCGCTTGTCACAATGAAGACCTGGGTTCGATTCCCCATATGAGCACCATGTGTGTAGCCAATATATGGCATCCTCCCGCCGTGATATTGCTGGAATATTGCTAAAAGCGGCGTAAAACCTGATGCCACACAAACCCTGACACCCACTACCATTATATAGAACACCCTTACACCCACCACCATTATATACAACACCCTTACAAACTCCACCATTATATAACACCCTGACACCCACCACCATTATATTGCACCCTGACACCCACCACCATTATATAAACACCCTGACACCCACTACCATTATATACAACACCCTTACACCCACCACCATTATATAACACCCTTACACCGACCACCATTATATAAACACCCTGACACCCACTACCATTATATACAACACCCTTACACCCACCACCATTATATACAACCTGACACCCACCACTATTATATAACACCCTTACACCCACCACCATTATAATCAACACTCTTACACCAACCAACATTATATACAACACCCTACACTACATTCAACACCATTGTATACAACACCCTTACACCCACCACCATTATATAACACCCTTACAACCACTACCATTATATAACACCCTTACACCAACCACCATTATACAACACCCTTACAACCACTACCATTATATAACACCCTTACACCCACCACCATTATGTACAACACCCTGACACCCACTACCATTATATACAACAGCCTTACAACCACTTCCATTATATGACACCCTTACACCCACTACCATCTTTAGAACACCCTTACAAACTCCACCATTATATAAAGACTCTTACAACCACCACCATTATATAACACCCTTACAACCACTACCATTATATAACACCCTTACACACACCACCATTATATAAACACCCTTACACACACCACCATTATATAAACACCCTTACACCCACCACCATTATATAAACACCCTTACACCCACCACCATTATATAACACCCTTACATCCACCACCATTATGTACAATACCCTGACACCCACCACCATTATATACAACACCCTGACACCCACCACCACTAAATAACACCCACCGCCATTGTATAAACACCCTTACACCCACCACCATTATATAAACACCCTTACACCCACCACCATTATGTACAATACCCTGACACCCACCACCATTATATAGAACACCCTGACACCCACCACCATTATATATACATCCTTACACCCACCGCCATTATATACAACACCCTTACACCCACCCCCATTATATAGAACACCCTGACACCCACCACCATTATGTACAATACCCTGACACCCACCACCATTATATACAACACCCTGACACCCACCACCATTATATAACACCCTTACACCCACCACCATTAAATAACACCCTTACATCCACCACCATTATATAGAACACCCTGACACCCACCACCATTATGTACAATACCCTGACACCCACCACCATTATGTACAATACCCTGACACCCACCGCCATTATATCAACACCCTTACACCCACCGCCATTATATCAACACCCTTACACCCACCACCATTATATACAACACCCTTACACCCACCACCATTATACAATACCCTGACACCCACCACCATTATATAAACACCCTACAATGCCCTGACACCCACCACGATTATATAAAACACCCTTACACCCACCACCATTATATATACACACCCTACACACCCACCATTATACACACCACCATTATATAAACACCCTTACACCCACACCCACCACCATTATATACAACACCCTGACACCCACACCCACACCATTGTATACAACACCCTGACACCCACCACCATTATATACAACACCCTTACACCCACCACCATTATATAGAACACCCTTACACCCACCACGATTATGTACAATACCCTGACACCCACAACCATTATATACAACACCCTGACACCCACCACCATTATATAAACACCCTTACACCCACAGCCATTATATACAACTCCTTACACCCACCACCATTATATAAACACCCTTACACCCACCACCATTATATACACTCCTTACACACCCTTACACCCACCACCATTATGTACAACACCCTGACACCCACCACCATTATATACAACACCCTGACACCCACCACCATTATATAACACCCTTACACCCACCACCATGAAATAACACCCTTACATCCACCACCATTATATAGAACACCCTTACATCCACCACCATTATATAAACACCCTTACACCCACCACCATTATATACAACACCCTGACACCCACCACCATTATATACAACACCCTGACACCCACCACCATTATATACAACACCCTTACATCCACTACCATTATATACAACTCCCTTACAACCACTACCATTATATAACACCCTTACACCCACCACCATTATAGAACACCCTTACACCCTTATATCCACCACCGTTATGTAGAATACCCTGACACCCACCACCATTATCCACAACACCCTGACACCTAACACCAATATCTGCCAACAATGTAATCAAATGTTGTGAATGTTGTGACTTAGCACTTACCCAGGGCCGACAGAATGGCGGCTGTCCAGAAGAGATCTCCCAGGAACTGTGGTATACACATGAGGGCGCCCATCACTCCGCCGTAGCGGTCTTGGAAAGGGTCCAACATTGTGATGCAGTTGTCACGACGTAAACGGGGACAAAACAAAATACCACCTGTATAAAACAGATATAGAAACATTGCTCTGACATATTGGTATTTGAAATAAAACAGGCAAGTTTTGTGTTATTGGTATTTGAAATAAACAGGCAAGTTTTGTGTTGGCAGAGATATATTCAACTTTGTCCGTAGTAAAAAAGCGTCAATTATATTCCTTCAAGAAACTCATAGCACCGTAGATGATGAACTAATGTGGGCGGCAGACTGGGTTATAGATGTCATTATTCACACGGTACAAGTAAAGGCTCAGGAGTTATGGTTCTAAAAAATACTAACTTCGAGTGAAATAATTGTAGATGATAATGGCCGTTTCATAATTCTTGACATTACTATAAAAGACATTCGTTTTTCTCTTATAGATATTTATTGACCAAATATCGATTCCCCAGAAGTTTTCGAAGATCTTGCTAATGATTTGAGTAAACTTTCAGGATCAATAGTTTGGGGTCAAGACTGGAACGTGGTGCAAGATTATTACAGTGATACGTATAATTATAAAAACAAAAATAAGCCAAAGGCACATGACAAAATACTTGATATCAAAGAGCAATTAGAGCTGGTCGATCCTTGGAGAATTTTTAATCCTGACACAAGGCAATACACATCGCGTCAACTCTTTCCTTTAAAGCAGAGTAGACTTGACTACTTCTTAATTTCTGAGGCTATTCTCTCTCTAGTAAAAACTGTTTCTGTATAAGTTATAAATCTGATCACTCATATATTACGCTCGTGGATATTGGAGATTCAATTCTAACTTACTGCATGATAAAGATTACGTAAAACTGGTAAAGGAAACTATACAAAATATTTTGAATGAATTCAAAGCATTGGGAACTACTGATGATATTGCCATATGACTTTCAAAATGAATGACCAGTTTGTATTTGAAATGTTAAAAATGAGAATGAGAAGTGAAACAATAGCATATACAATAAAACAAAAAAAGTCCATTGACAAAGAAGAAAAAACACTTGACAATGAGATTAATAAGTTAGAATCAAATTATGGCATCCTTTCAAATGATACCTTAAATGAATCAAATTATGACATCCTCTCAAATGATACCTTAAATGAATCAAATTATGACATCCTCTCAAATGATACCTTAAATGAATCAAATTATGACATCCTCTCAAATGATACCTTAAATGAATCAAATTATGACATCCTCTCAAATGATACCTTAAATGAATCAAATTATGACATCCTTTCAAATGATATGACATCCTCTCAAATGATACCTTAAATGAATCAAATTATGACATCCTTTCAAATGATACCTTAAATGAATCAAATTATGACATCCTTTCAAATGATACCTTAAATGAATCAAATTATGACATCCTCTCAAATGATACCTTAAATGAATCAAATTATGACATCCTCTCAAATGATACCTTAAATGAATCAAATTATGACATCCTCTCAAATGATACCTTAAATGAATCAAATTATGACATCCTTTCAAATGATATGACATCCTCTCAAATGATACCTTAAATGAATCAAATTATGACATCCTCTCAAATGATACCTTAAATGAATCAAATTATGACATCCTTTCAAATGATACCTTAAATGAATCAAATTATGACATCCTCTCAAATGATACCTTAAATGAATCAAATTATGACATCCTCTCAAATGATACCTTAAATGAATCAAATTATGACATCCTCTCAAATGATACCTTAAATGAATCAAATTATGACATCCTCTCAAATGATACCTTAAATGAATCAAATTATGACATCCTTTCAAATGATATGACATCCTCTCAAATGATACCTTAAATGAATCAAATTATGACATCCTCTCAAATGATACCTTAAATGAATCAAATTATGACATCCTTTCAAATGATACCTTAAATGAATCAAATTATGACATCCTCTCAAATGATACCTTAAATGAATCAAATTATGACATCCTCTCAAATGATACCTTAAATGAATCAAATTATGACATCCTCTCAAATGATACCTTAAATGAATTAGATTAAAAAAATGGAAACCATTGGAACAGAAAAAATAAAAGGAATTATATTTAGAAGTAAGGCAACAACGTATAAAGATGGTGAAAAGAACACAGAATGTTGCCCGAATCTTGAGAAAAGAAATTATATCAATAAGCATATGAAAGAAATAATTGATACTAGGACAAGTGTGTAACTAGCATTGGTGATATACTAGTAGTTGTTGAAACTTCAAAATATTACAAAATCTTAAATAGTAGCCAGCATGATACAAACTGGGAATACCATGCACGCCAGTTTACCAATATTGATGTCAAATTAAATCAGAATGAGAGAAACAGCTGTGAGGGTCCTATTACACTAAATGAATGTGCCTCTGTTTTAAAATTTATGAAAAATCGAAAGAGTTCAGGATCAGACGGTTTTCCAGCAGAATTCTACAAGTTTTCTGGAAAGATATCGGAATTATTCTCCTTAGATCTACAACACCTGCTTTCTATATTGGAACTTTGTCAATTTTCAAAACCAGGTTATAATAACCTGCATTCCTAAAGAAAACAGACGGGCGTTACCTAAAAAAACTGGCGCCCAGTAACTTTATTAAATGTAGACTATAAAATAGCTTCTGGAGTAATAGCAAATAGAATCAAGAATGTTCTACCAAATATCATTAGCGAAACGCAAACGGGCTTTCTTAAGGACCGATTCATTGGGCGAAAATACTGGAATATTATATGATATCATGAATTACTGTGAAATACACAAAAAGCCAGGGCTTCTTATAACAGTAGATTTTGAAAAAGCCTTTGACACTGTAGAGTGGCAATTTATAGATAAAGCACTGGAAGCATTCAGTTTTGGACCTCCTCTCAGAAAGTGGATTAAATTGTTTCAATCTAATAGTAACAGTGCAATAATAAGCACGGCACATTTCAAATTATTTTAATCTTGAAAGAGGCTGTAGACAAGGCGATCCTATCTCCCCCTATCTATTCATCATTTGTGCAGAGTTATTATCTATATCTATTAAGCATAATACTTGGATAACAGGTATAGATGTTAATGGTGTTGAATTTCTAACCTTCCAATATGCTGATGATGCAAATTTCACCTTAGAAGGATCACAGGAGGGACTCTCGGAACTTATTGGAACATTACAAGATTTTGCTAACGCGTCCGGTTGAAAGATTAATTGTGACAAAACCAAGGCTATTTGGATTGGTTCAAAAAATAATTCAAATGAAAAGCTTTGCCCCCATTTGCCTTTGCAATGGTCAAAAGAACCTTTTAAAATTTTAGGGATAAATTCGACAGACTTGAAACAAATGGTTTCCTTGAATTTTGATTAACATAAATAAAGCAAGACAGATCTGCTTTTCCTGGTCAAAATGATTACTAACATTAAATGGCAAAATAGCGATTATTAAATCACAAATTTATCCCTTTATTTACAATTTATTTTCAGCCCTTCTTTTGCCGGATTAAACCTTCTTTAAATCGCTAAATTCAATCTTGTTTAAGTTTATTTGGAACGGAAAACGAGATAAATTTAAAGGAGAATGTTGATGAATGATCATTCAGAAGGTCTTTGCATGGTTGATGTTGAAGCTTTTTGTAAATACTTGAAATTGAAGTGGATGAAACGCCTGACACAAAACGATCGCTTATGGCAACACTTGGCACGATGTTCGATGGTGAACTTTCCCAAAGCATCAATAAAAAAGCTAATTAAAGACATTAAGAACGATTTTTGGAAAGATATTTTAACTATTTATAACAAGTTGCAAACTTCAGAGGAATATTGACGAATTCAGAAATCTTCCCTTCATGAGTTTTGTTCCTTATAAAGATTATAAACTATACATCAAATGGTATCAGTGTGGAATTAGATATATTCGGGGCCTAATGAGTGATTCAGGACACTTAAAAGAATTCAATGTTTTGAAACACGACTTCAGACTAAATGATAATTTCAGTTCTTATTTCAGACTGATAAGTTTCATACCCAACACTTGGATTAAATTATCACAAGATAACCCGGTTAATAGAACAATGTAAATGTAAGATTCTCAGGGACATTATCTCATCACTAGATTGTAAATTTATCTATAAACTGATTCGTAATGATGATGGTATTTGTTCTCTTCAAGATCTTACTTCTGAATGGAACTTAAAGTTGGATGCACATATATCAGAAACTTACCTGTCCCAATGTTTTAATACAATACAAAATTGTGTTGAGGACAGCAAGACACGTAACTTCCAATATAAACTCATCCATCGTATCATACCATCAAAATCATTTCTTTACAAAATAGGACCGATAGAGGATAACCTTTGTACATTTTGCCAATCAGAAAGTGAAACACTAGAACATTTATTTTTTTCCTGTCCAAAAGTTCAAACTATGATAAATGAGTTGAGATTTTGGTATGAAAGTAGAACCAATTTAAAATTAGACTTAAATATGAATAATTTCCTTCTTGGAGATTCAAAGTTGAGTATCTTTGAAAACCACTGCACCTTTTTATAATAACCATGTGTTACATTCAAAATTGCCATTACAATAAGACTATTCCCATATTTACCCAATTATTACCGCTAATAAAATATAATCACAACATAGAAATTCATTTCTGGAGACAAGACCAAATTTGCAGAAAAATGGGCCCCTATACTAATATAGATGGACGCAAACTAATGCTTGATAATACCAGCATTTCTCTCCTCTATTTTCTTACTTTGCTACATCCCTGTACCTCTTTCTTTGTACTCTATTCATACACCAATAAATCATGCTGTCTCTCACTTATCCCGCAGCTTGAATATATGTGTTGTGTGTATTATCCAACTGTATGAATATTGTATCACTTGCTATCACAATAAAAAAATAAAATAAAATAAAAAGTTTTGTGTTGTCGGTATTTGAAATGAAACAGGCAAGTTTTGTGAACAGATTGATGATCCGATAAGTGACCGAAGCTTACCAATGATGAGGGAGAGGGAGTAGCCAATTGGCGCTTGCATCCAGGCAAATCCCTTCTTGGCAACGATTTCTGCAGTCCCGTTGATGAAACCTCCGCCAATCCATGTTGCTAAAACAAGGATCAAACAATGTACTTCACAGTGTAGTATCCTTACCCTAACCCAAACCTCCGCCAGTCCATGTTGCTGAAACAAGGATCAAACAATGTACTTCACAGTGTAGTATCCTAACCCTAACCCAAACCTCCGCCAGTCCATGTTGCTGAAACAAGGATCAAGCAATGTACTTCACAGTGTAGTATCCTAACCCTAACCCAAACCTCCGCCAATCCATGTTGCTGAAACAAAGATCAAACAATGTACTTCACAGTGTAGTATCCTAACCCTAACCCAAACCCCCGCCAATCCATGTTGCTGAAACAAGGATCAAGCAATGTACTTCACAGTGTAGTATCCTAACCCTAACCCAAACCTCCGCCAATCCATGTTGCTGAAACAAAGATCAAACAATGTACTTCACATTGTAGTACCCTAACCCTAACCCACACCTCCGCCAATCCATGTTGCTGAAACATGGATCAAACAATGTACTTCACAGTGTAGTATCCAAACCTCCGCCAGTCCATGTTGCTGAAACAAAGATCAAACAATGTACTTCACAGTGTAGTATCCTAACCCTAACCCAAACCTCCGCCAATCCATGTTGCTGAAACATGGATCAAACAATGTACTTCACAGTGTAGTATCCTAACCCTAACCCAAACCTCCGCCAATCCATGTTGCTGAAACAAAGATCAAACAATGTACTTCACAGTGTAGTATCCTAACCCTAACCCTAACCCCCGCCAATCCATGTTGCTGAAACAAGGATCAAGCAATGTACTTCACAGTGTAGTATCCTAACCCTAACCCAAACCTCCGCCAATCCATGTTGCTGAAACATGGATCAAACATTGTACTTCACAGTGTAGTATCCTAACCCTAACCCACACCTCCGCCTATCCATGTTGCTGAAACAAGGATCAAACAATGTACTTCACAGTGTAGTATCCTAACCCTAACCCAAACCTCCGCCAATCCATGTTGCTGAAACATGGATCAAACAATGTACTTCACAGTGTAGTATCCTAACCCTAACCCAAACCTCCGCCAGTCCATGTTGCTGAAACATGGATCAAACAATGTACTTCACAGTGTAGTATCCTAACCCTAACCCAAACCTCCGCCAATCCATGTTGCTGAAACAAGGATCAAACAATGTACTTCACAGTGTAGTATCCTAACCCTAACCCAAACCTCCGCCAATCCATGTTGCTGAAACAAGGATCAAACAATGTACTTCACAGTGTAGTATCCTGAACCCTAACCCACCCTCCGCCAATCCATGTTGCTGAAACAAGGATCAAACAATGTACTTCACAGTGTAGTATCCAAACCTCCGCCAGTCCATGTTGCTGAAACAAGGATCAAACAATGTACTTCACAGTGTAGTATCCTAACCCAAACCTCCGCCAATATGTTGCTGAAACATGTATCAAACAATGTACTTCACAGTGTAGTATCCTAACCCTAACCCAAACCTCCGCCAATCCATGTTGCTGTAACAAGGATCAAACAATGTACTTCACAGTGTAGTATCCTAACCCTAACCCACACCTCCGCCAATCAGTGTTGCAGAAACAAGGATCAAACAATGTACTTCACAGTGTAGTTTCCAAACCTCCGCCAGTCCATGTTGCTGAAACAAGGATCAAACAATGTACTTCACAGTGTAGTATCCTAACCCTAACCCAAACCTCCGCCAATCCATGTTGCTGAAACAAAGATCAAACAATGTACTTCACAGTGTAGTATCCTAACCCTAACCCAAACCTCCGCCAATCCATGTTGCTGAAACAAGGATCAAGCAATGTACTTCACAGTGTAGTATCCTAACCCTAACCCAAACCTCCGCCAATCCATGTTGCTGAAACATGGATCAAACAATGTACTTCACAGTGTAGTATCCTAACCCTAACCCACACCTCCGCCTATCCATGTTGCTGAAACAAGGATCAAACAATGTACTTCACAGTGTAGTATCCTAACCCTAACCCAAACCCCCGCCAATCCATGTTGCTGAAACATGGATCAAACATTGTACTTCACAGTGTAGTATCCTAATCCTAACCCAAACCTCCGCCAATCCATGTTGCTGAAACATGGATCAAACAATGTACTTCACAGTGTAGTATCCTAACCCTAACCCAAACCTCCGCCAGTCCATGTTGCTAAAACAAGGATCAAACAATGTACTTCACATTGTAGTACCCTAATCCTAACCCAAACCTCCGCCAATCCATGTTGCTGAAACATGGATCAAACATTGTACTTTACAGTGTAGTATCCTGACCCTAACCCACACCTCCGCCAATCAGTGTTGCTGAAACAAGGATCAAACAATGTACTTCACAGTGTAGTATCCAAACCTCCGCCAGTCCATGTTGCTGAAACAAGGATCAAACAATGTACTTCACAGTGTAGTATCCTAACCCAAACCTCCGCCAATATGTTGCTGAAACATGTATCAAACAATGTACTTCACAGTGTAGTATCCTAACCCTAACCCAAACCTCCGCCAATCCATGTTGCTGAAACAAGGATCAAACAATGTACTTCACAGTGTAGTATCCTAACCCTAACCCACACCTCCGCCAATCAGTGTTGCTGAAACAAGGATCAAACAATGTACTTCACAGTGTAGTATCCAAACCTCCGCCAGTCCATGTTGCTGAAACAAGGATCAAACAATGTACTTCACAGTGTAGTACCCTAATCCTAACCCACACCTCCGCCAGTCCATGTTACTGAAACAAAGATCAAACAATGTACTTCACAGTGTAGTATCCTAACCCTAACCCAAACCTCCGCCAACATGTTGCTGAAACAAGGATCAAACAATGTACTTCACAGTGTAGTATCCTAACCCTAACCCTAACCCAAACCTCCGCCAACATGTTGCTGAAACATGGATCAAACAATGTACTTCACAGTGTAGTATCCTAACCCTAACCCAAACCTCCGCCAACATGTTGCTGAAACAAGGATCAAACAATGTACTTCACAGTGTAGTATCCTAACCCTAACCCAAACCTCCGCGAACATGTTACTGAAACAAGAACCAAACAATGTACTTCACAGTGTAGTATCCTAACCCTAACCCCAGCCTCCGCCAGTCCATGTTGCTAAAACAAGAATCAAACAATGTACTTCACAGTGTAGTTTCCTGTTGGGAGTACAGAGTTGTCCAATACCCAGGAATGTACTTGGTTATTATTAACTTGAACATGTTAATATTCACTTGTATACATATATCCAATCCACTGATCACACATCAATAAGGTACATGTATATGGATTTTTGTAATATGTAAGCTACTTGTAGCTGGTTGCAGTGTTCCACCCAGCTAGATGGTTGGCTTGACACATATTGATCTGTGTCTCCCACCTGATCACAGACCACCAAGCTAGACGGTTAGCCTGACACATATTGGTCTGTGTCTCCCACCTGATCACAGACCACCAAGCTAGACAGTTGGCCTGACACACATTGGTCTGTGTCTCCCACCTGATCACAGACCAGGCAGCTACATGGTTGGCCTGACACATATTGGTCAGTGTCTCCCACCTGACCACATACCACCCAGCTAGATGGTTGGCCTGACACACATTGCTCCGTGTCTCCCACCTGATCACAGACCACCAAGCTAGACAGTTGGCCTAACACATATTGGTCAGTGTCTCCCACCTGATCACAGACCAGGGAGCTAGATGGTTGGCCTGACACATATTGGTCCGTGTCTCCCACCTGATCACAGACCAGGCAGCTAGATGGTTGGCCTGACACATATTGGTCTGTGTCTCCCACCTGATCACAGACCACCTAGCTAGACAGTTGGCCTGACACAGACCATTGGTTGGCCTGACACACATGGTCTCCCACCTGATCACAGACCAGGCAGCTAGATGGTTGGCCCTGATCACAGACCATTGGTCTGTGTCTGTGTCCCACCTAATCACAGACCACCTAGCTAGAGGGTGGCCTGACACATATTGGTCTGTGTCTCCCACCTGATCACAGACCACCAAGCTAGACAGTTGGCCTGACACACATTGGTCTGTCTCCCACCTGATCACAGACCAGGCAGCTAGATGGTTGGCCTGACACACATTGGTCTGTGTCTCCCACCTGATCACAGACCAGGCAGCTAGATGGTTGACCTAACACATATTGGTCTGTGTCTCCCACCTGACTACAGACCACCAAGCTAGACGGTTGGCTGGTCACACATTGGTCTGTGTCTCCCACCTGATCACAGACCACCCAGCTAGATGGTTGACCTGACTCACATTGGTCTGTGTCCCACCTGATCACATACCACCCAGCTAGAGGTGTGGCCTGACACATATTGGTCTGTGTCTCCCACCTGATCACAGACCACCAAGCTAGACAGTTGGCCTGACACACATTGGTCTGTGTCTCCCACCTGATCACAGACCACCCAGCTAGATGGTTGGCCTGACACACATTGGTCTGTGTCTCCCACCTGATCACAGACCAGGCAGCTAGATGGTTGGCCTGACACATATTGGTCTGTGTCTCCCACCTGATCACAGACCACCAAGCTAGACAGTTGGCCTGACACACATTGGTCTGTGTCTCCCACCTGATCACAGACCAGGCAGCTAGATGGTTGGCCTGACACACATTGGTCTGTGTCTCCCACCTGATCACAGACCACCCAGCTAGATGGTTGGCCTGACACACATTGGTCTGTGTCTCCCACCTGATCACAGACCACCCAGCTAGATGGTTGGCCTGACACACATTGGTCTGTGTCTCCCACCTGATCACAGACCACCCAGCTAGATGGTTGGCCTGACACACATTGGTCTGTGTCTCACACCTGATCACAGACCACCCAGCTAGAGGTGTGGCCTGACACACATTGGTCTGTGTCTCACACCTGATCACAGACCACCCAGCTATATACCTGGCCTGACAGACATTGGTCTGTGTCTCACACCTGATCACATACCACCCAGCTAGATGCCTGGCCTGACACACATTGGTCTGTGTCTCGCACCTGATCACAGACCACCCAGCTATATACCTGGCCTGACACATATTGGTCTGTGTCTCCCACCTGATCACAGACCACCCAGCTATATGGTTGGCCTGACACACATTGGTCTGTGTCTCCCACCTGATCACAGACCACCCAGCTAGATGGTTGGCCTGACACACATTGGTCTGTGTCTCCCACCTGATCAGACTAGGCAGCTAGATGGCCCTGACACACATTGGTCTGTGTCTCCCACCTGATCACAGACCAGGCAACTAGATGGTTGGCCTGACACACATTTGGTCTGTCTCTCCCACCTGATCACAGACCACCAAGCTAGACGGTTGGCTGGTGACACACATTGGTCTGTGTCTCCCACCTGATCACAGACCAGGCAGCTAGATGGTTGGCCTGACACACATTGGTCTGTGTCTCCCACCTGATCACAGACCAGGCAGCTAGATGGTTGGCCTGACACACATTGGTCTGTGTCTCCCACCTGATCACAGACCAGGCAGCTAGATGGTTGGCCTGACACATATTGGTCTGTGTCTCCCACCTAATCACAGACCACCTAGCTAGATGGTGGCCTGACACATATTGGTCTGTGTCTCCCACCTGATCACAGACCACCAAGCTAGACAGTTGGCCTGACACACATTGGTCTGTGTCTCCCACCTGATCACAGACCAGGCAGCTAGATGGTTGGCCTGACACACATTGGTCTGTGTCTCCCACCTGATCACAGACCACCCAGCTATATACCTGGCCTGTCACATATTGGTCTGTGTCTCCCACCTGATCACAGACCACCTAGCTAGATGGTGGCCTGACACATATTGGTCTGTGTCTCCCACCTGATCACAGACCACCAAGCTAGACAGTTGGCCTGACACACATTGGTCTGTGTCTCCCACCTGATCACAGACCACCCAGCTAGATGGTTGGCCTGACACACATTGGTCTGTGTCTCCCACCTGATCACAGACCAGGCAGCTAGATGGTTGGCCTGACACACATTGGTCTGTGTCTCCCACCTGATCACAGACCACCCAGCTATATACCTGGCCTGACACATATTGGTCTGTGTCTCCCACCTGATCACAGACCACCTAGCTAGATGGTGGCCTGACACATATTGGTCTGTGTCTCCCACCTGATCACAGACCACCAAGCTAGACAGTTGGCCTGACACACATTGGTCTGTGTCTCCCACCTGATCACAGACCAGGCAGCTAGATGGTTGGCCTGACACACATTGGTCTGTGTCTCCCACCTGATCACAGACCAGGCAGCTAGATGGTTGGCCTGACACACATTGGTCTGTGTCTCCCACCTGATCACAGACCAGGCAGCTAGATGGTTGGCCTGACACATATTGGTCTCTGTCTCCCACCTGATCACAGACCACCAAGCTAGATGGTTGGCCTGACACACATTGGTCTGTGTCTCCCACCTGATCACAGACCACCCAGCTAGATGGTTGGCCTGACACACATTGGTCTGTGTCTCCCACCTGATCACAGACCAGGCAGCTAGATGGTTGGCCTGACACACATTGGTCTGTGTCTCCCACCTGATCACAGACCAGGCAGCTAGATGGTTGGCCTGACACATATTGGTCTGTGTCTCCCACCTGAATCACAGACCACCTAGCTAGATGGTGGCCTGACACATATTGGTCTGTGTCTCCCACCTGATCACAGACCACCAAGCTAGACAGTTGGCCTGACACACATTGGTCTGTGTCTCACACCTGATCACAGACCACCCAGCTAGATGGTTGGCCTGACACACATTGGTCTGTGTCTCCCACCTGATCACAGACCAGGCAGCTAGATGGTTGGCCTGACACACATTGGTCTGTGTCTCCCACCTGATCACAGACCAGGCAGCTAGATGGTTGGCCTGACACATATTGGTCTCTGTCTCCCACCTGATCACAGACCACCAAGCTAGACAGTTGGCCTGACACACATTGGTCTGTGTCTCCCACCTGATCACAGACCAGGCAGCTAGATGGTTGGCCTGACACACATTGGTCTGTGTCTCCCACCTGATCACAGACCAGGCAGCTAGATGGTTGGCCTGACACACATTGGTCTGTGTCTCCCACCTGATCACAGACCAGGCAGTTGGATGCCTGGCCTGAGACACATTGGTCTGTGTCTCGCACCTGATCACAGACCACCCAGCTATATACCTGGCCTGACACATATTGGTCTGTGTCTCCCACCTGATCACAGACCACCCAGCTATATACCTGGCCTGACACACATTGGTCTGTGTCTCCCACCTGATCACAGACCACCCGGCTAGATGCCTGGCCTGACTCACATTGGTCTCTGTCTCCAACATGATCACAGACCACCCAGCTAGATGGTGGCCTGACACACATTGGTCTGTGTCTCCCACCTGATCACAGACCACCCAGCTAGAATGACATTTTACATTAGAAAGGGATTTTAACAGGTATGATAGTACTCTGCAGCACACTTTTACCGTAGTCGGAACGTAAATTGGACATGCATCTTCTATGCTGTTGTAAACAATAACTTGGAAATCTGTGTTTGAAGGATATAACTTGCTAGCACTATGTGTCAGTACTGGACGTTTGACGAATGTTTCACACTGTAAACACACTAGATTTAGGGATCCACACACTGATCACATTTATATGTTACATGTATATACTTTCTGTTGGATATATATTCTCATGGCCCTGTTTTGTGGGAGCATCCGGTACCAGACAGTAGCCAACCAGGTAATAAAGATAAATAAACCACGGAGCGTTAGACTGAGATCAATCTTTAAGATTCAAAGGCTGAATTTAATAATCTTTAGTTTTCCTTGCGGCTGTCACACTTGCGGGCTCACACACGCCTTCAGTGATCTTAGGTCGTGGTCAGTTGCTCGCCCTTGTCTTTTTATGCAACTTGGCGCTTGGCAAGAGGGTTTTAATCTGGATTTTCCTGATTGAAACAAAAGCACATGCTATTATAACCGTTAGTACACATGCCATTATAACTGTTAGACAACACAGATAGAAAGACTTAACTTCAGTATAGGACCAGCTTCAAGTGAGTTCATGGCCACAATCTGCTGAGAGACAAGTGAAACCGGTAATGCTGTTTTCTTTGATACTAACACCCACATATTTCCAAAGAGTACACATCACATGTTCAGTGTAACGATGTTGATAATGGTTACTACCTGTTATAGTGAACAAGGATACGACAAGACTCATGTTTCTGTCAGCCAATATGATGCCAACTACTGTCTTGGATCTTTTCTTTCTCCCAGCCACAACGCCGACAATGAGGATGAGGATGTAGAAGACGATGACGGAGATGAGCCCAGGGATGTTGACTGCCATTTTGATGTTGTGTTCTGACTGAAAACTGAAGCAGAAGTCCAAACTATACTGATATATTATTTGAGAGTGGATGTAGCTGCTTGTACTGGCCCGAACTAATATCTGTTTAATGGACAATGAGAGTGGATGTAGCTGCTTGTATTGGCCCGAACTAATATCTGTTTAATGGACAATGAGAGTAGATGTAGCTGTTTGTACTGGCCCGAACTAATATTGGTTTAATGGACAATGAGAGTGGATGTAGCTGCTTGTACTGGCCCGAACTAATATCGGTTTAATGGACAATGAGAGTAGATGTAGCTGCTTGTACTGGCCCGAACTAATATCGGTTTAATGGACAATGAGAGTGGATGTAGCTGCTTGTACTGGCCCGAACTAATATCGGTTTAATGGACAATGAGAGTGGATGTAGCTGCTTGTACTGGCCCGAACTAATATCGGTTTAATGGACAATGAGAGTGGATGTAGCTGCTTGTACTGGCCCGAACTAATATCGGTTTAATGGACAATGAGAGTGGATGTACCTGTTTGTACTGGCCCGAACAATATATGGTTTAATGGACAATGAGTGTGGATGTAGCTGCTTGTACTGGCCCGAACTAATATCGGTTTAATGGACAATGAGAGTAGATGTAGCTGCTTGTACTGGCCCAATGAAGTGGATGTACCTGCTTGTACTAACAATATATGGTTTAATGGACAATGAGAGTGGATGTAGCTGCTTGTACTGGCCCGAACTAATATCGGTTTAATGGACAATGAGAGTAGATGTAGCTGTTTGTACTGGCCCGAACTAATATCGGTTTAATGGACAATGCTTGTACTGGCCCGAACTAATATCGGTTTAATGGACAATGAGAGTGGATGTACCTGTTTGTACTGGCCCGAACAATATATGGTTTAATGGACAATGAGTGTGGATGTAGCTGCTTGTACTGGCCCGAACTAATATCGGTTTAATGGACAATGAGAGTGGATGTAGCTGTTTGTACTGGCCCGAACAATATATGGTTTAATGGACAATGAGTGTGGATGTAGCTGCTTGTACTGGCCCGAACTAATATCGGTTTAATGGACAATGAGAGTGGATGTAGCTGTTTGTACTGGCCCGAACTAATGGATGTAGCTGCTTGTACTGGCCCGAACTAATATCGGTTTAATGGACAATGAGTGTGGATGTAGCTGCTTGTACTGGCCCGAACTAATATCGGTTTAATGGACAATGAGAGTGGATGTAGCTGTTTGTACTGTCCCGAACAATATATGGTTTAATGGACAATGAGAGTGGATGTAGCTGCTTGTACTGGCCCGAACTAATATCGGTTTAATGGACAATGAGAGTGGATGTACCTGCTTGTACTGGCCCGAACTAATATCTGTTTAATGGACAATGAGAGTGGATGTACCTGCTTGTACTGGCCCGAACTAATATCTGTTTAATGGACAATGAGAGTAGATGTAGCTGCTTGTACTGGCCCGAACTAATATCGGTTTAATGGACAATGAGAGTGGATGTACCTGTTTGTACTGGCCCGAACAATATATGGTTTAATGGACAATGAGTGTGGATGTAGCTGCTTGTACTGGCCCGAACAATATATGGTTTAATGGACAATGAGTGTGGATGTAGCTGCTTGTACTGGCCCGAACTAATATCGGTTTAATGGACAATGAGAGTGGATGTAGCTGTTTGTACTGGCCCGAACAATATATGGTTTAATGGACAATGAGAGTGGATGTACCTGTTTGTACTGGCCCGAACTAATATCGGTTTAATGGACAATGAGAGTGGATGTAGCTGCTTGTACTGGCCCGAACTAATATCGGTTTAATGGACAATGAGAGTGGATGTAGCTGCTTGTACTGGCCCGAACTAATATCGGTTTAATGGACAATGAGAGTAGATGTAGCTGCTTGTACTGGCCCGAACTAATATCGGTTTAATGGACAATGAGAGTAGATGTAGCTGCTTGTACTGGCCCGAACTAATATCGGTTTAATGGACAATGAGAGCGGATGTAGCTGCTTGTACTGGCCCGAACTAATATCGGTTTAATGCGAGCGCCAGGCAATAAATCAACTCGAACAATCATTTAACGTATTTCGTTGTGATGTGTGTGAGTGGTGTGCTGTGTGGAACTTGTGTGCTTTGTGTTTTATGAGGCTTTAATCGAATTCAAACCTTTGCTAAATCACTAAGTTGTCTACACATGAAACTTAAGCATTATGCTTTAGTCATACCCAAAACTCTGACTGACTCAATACCTTGCCATCTCCCTGCACTCACGACACATTGCACATACCGATGCCCCTCCAGGGTATAACGGGTGAATTCAGTATTGTCTTACTTATAAATGTTGTCGTCAATATTACTGCAAACTGAGGTTAGTTGGTTTTCATCTCTCATTCATGTTATGTTATGTATAAATGTGGTTGTGACACCGTTCTCTGATGAACCGGCTGCTTCACATTGTATGATATCACGACGGCTTTGCTGCCATTCATTTCCTTGTCAGCTGTTGGTTCCTCCTGTATAACTCTACTCTTATCCTCGTGCGTTTGACGCTGCAATAGTCAAACATATACTTAGTCACAAACATTACCACAGCGCTGGTGCCACATTGCACTTTCTTTTTTTCGGCTTCGGGGTTGCTTTTAAGATATACATTTGTCTGTGGTCTCACCTACTCTTACCAACATGGAACTAAGTAAAGAGGACTTGGTCTCCCTTGGCTGGCTATGTGCAGACGCGTGTAATCGTTGCTCTCACAGCCCAAAGTTATTATTTGGAGCGCCCTTCCTAAGACCCAAATGGACTGAGAAGTAAGTGCATAAGCTACTGGCACTATTGATGTTAGCTTGTGTGAATTTTTTGGGTCAAAAACTGTGTTTTTGAAAAGAAAACTTTAACCACGTGTAAATCACACCTGACGGGTCAGAGGTGAAAGAACGAAAACGAAAAGCTCCGAAAAGTCTTAGAAAAAAAACAAGCGCAAATGGATGAAATGGAATCGAAATTTGCTGAAGTAGCTTCTCGTGCAAACGAAGCTTTCAGACAGAGTAATCAAAACGAGAAATTCTCCAGAAAGAATCAATATCAAAGTGTTCAATTTACCCGAATCTGAAAGTGAAGATGTTAGAAACAAATTCACGGAATTGATGACAAGTAAATCAAACTTTGATGTAAACCAGGATGACATATTGGCTAATTCATAGAATTGACCATGCCAACAAGTCAATTACAAAACCGGTGTTAATCAAATTCACATCTTCAGGGGCAAAATCTCAAGTTCTTCGTTTGAGGAAACAGATTCGGGAGAAGTCGGAGTCGAAGATAGCCGATGATGTTACTAAAACTAACGTTGTCCTCATAAACAGACTCAAGAGTCACGCTGGGATTGAAAGTGCCTGGTATTTCAACGGGCGAGTTTACGCAACCACAACCACGACGGGCAAACGGTCCCAGTTTAACCCCTACGATGACATTGATAAGGTTATAAACCTTCAGTGATTGACTGATTGATTCGTGTAACACAGTGGACAATATACCGGTGTTACGTGTAACACAGTGGACAATATACCGGTGTTACGTGTAACACAGTGGACAATATACCGGTGTTACGTGTAACACAGTGGACAATATACCGGTGTTTCGTGTAACACTGTGGACAATATACCGGTGTTACGTGTAACACAGTGGACAATATACCGGTGTTACGTGTAACACTGTGGACAATATACCGGTGTTTCGTGTAACACTGTGGACAATATACCGGTGTTACGTAACACAGTGGACAATATACCGGTGTTACGTGTAACACTGTGGACAATATACCGGTGTTTCGTGTAACACTGTGGACAATATACCGGTGTTTCGTGTAACACTGTGGACAATATACCGGTGTTACGTGTAACACAGTGGACAATATACCGGTGTTTCGTGTAACACTGTGGACAATATACCGGTGTTTCGTGTAACACTGTGGACAATATACCGGTGTTACGTGTAACACAGTGGACAATATACCGGTGTTTCGTGTAACACTGTGGACAATATACCGGTGTTACGTGTAACACAGTGGACAATATACCGGTGTTACGTGTAACACAGTGGACAATATACCGGTGTTACGTGTAACACAGTGGACAATATACCGGTGTTACGTGTAACACAGTGGACAATATACCGGTGTTACGTGTAACACAGTGGACAATATACCGGTGTTACGTGTAACACAGTGGACAATATACCGGTGTTACATGTAACACAGTGGACAAAATACCGGTGTTACGTAAGGATAACGTAACGGTTAAAAGCGCCCCCCGAACTTTGTGCGCGAGGTCGTATTTAACGGATCTTTTCACTTTTGTTGTCGATTATATCCTGAACTAAACTCCCTTTTGTTTTTTAGTTCTAGGGAATCTTTGTTTACATTAGATACCTAAACTTCCCCACATGGACAGTGTAGGAAGAGACAGCTTATTATTAGGCGGCATATAGCCAAATGTGTTCTATGATAATGTGTTCTATGATACTCATTCCTCCCTGTGGACGAGAATCAGTAACTGGTGAAAGACTCTACAGACTTCAACGACTAAGACTGAGTTAGACACCTTTCACTTGTGTTATTTGTGACTTTATTTGATCACTAACATGAAGGTACTTCATAATAAGTTACACATTGTGTTAATTGGGCAAATGTCAAAGGGATTACCAATCATTCTCATGTTATTTTTACTCCCTCTCTGCCTACTATCAGCTCCTCTCCTCTCACTCTCTCTCTCTCTCTCTCTCTGGCACCCAATCAGTTCTTCTCACTCATTCAAATTAAGACATGAATAATTTGTGTATTTTATCTATGAATGCCAGGGGCCTCCAGTCGGTCAGCATAAAAGGTAGAGATATTTTCAATTTCGTAAGGAAGAGGAAATCATCTATATTGTTTATTCAAGAATCCCATAGTACTTTAGAAAATGGACAGACATGGGCAGCTGAATGGGGCTACATATGTTATTTCTCACATGGAACCAGTAACAGTGCAGGGACATTAATACT